ATGGCAGCTATATGATATAGTCGTCCGATTTTGAAAAAATTTTATTCGAAATTCAGAATTAGATAAAAAACAAGAAAGGAAGCTAGCTTCGGCAAGCCGAAGCTTATATACCCTTGCAGATCATTCTATTAATTTACAAATCGCAAAAATGTTAAATTTCTTATTATTTCACATTAATTTTTCGATCGTTTCTATCACAGCTATATGATATAGTACTTTAATCTTTTAAAAATTAAAATCGAAATTCGGAAATATTTCAAAATAGTCATATCCCAGAGTAGAAGGGAATGTAATAAAAACCAACAAAGATATAATTTTTTTCCCATTAATTTCCATTTAATTTTTCGACCGTTCCTATGGCAGCTATATGATATAGTGATCCGATTTAAAAAACAAAAAAACCGAAATTCAGAAATATATAAAAAAAATATTCCCAAGAGTAGAAGGTAAAATTTCAAAAAACACCGGAGCTAGAATTTTTTTACGTTTTTTTTTTTTTATCCTTCCTATGGGAGCTATAAGATATGGTTGTCCGATCCGGTTGGTTCCGACATATATACTACCTGCAATAGAAATACGACTTTTACGAAAGTTTCATCCCGATAGCTTTAAAACTGAGAGACTAGTTTGCGTAGAAACGGACGGACAGACGGACGGACAGACGGACGGACAGACGGACAGACGGACGGACAGACGGACATGGCTAGATCGACTCGTCTTGTGATGCTGATCAAGAATATATATACTTTATGGGGTCGGAAATGTCTCCTTCACTGCGTTGCAAACTTCTGACTGAAATCATAATACCCTCTGCAAGGGTATAATGACATTTCCAAAAGTAGGATGTTATAGGTTCAAAAAACCGCAGATACAATTTTTTTACATTTTTTTTCCCGATTGTTACTATGAGAGCTATATGATATAGTTGTCCGATCCGGCTCGTTCCGACTTATATACTACCTGCAATAGAAAGAAGACTTTTGGGAAAGTTTTATCCCGATAGCTTGAAAACTGGGAGACTAGTTAGCGTAGAAACGGACGGACAGACGGACGGACAGACGGACATGGCTAGATCGACCCGTCTAGTGATGCTGATCAAGAATCTATATACTTTATGGGGTGGGAAACGTCTCCTTCACTGCGTTGCAAACTTCTGACTGAAATCATAATACCCCCTGCAAGGGTATAATGAATTTCTGGCATTGTTTTGATTGTTTTGCTGCAGAGATTAAAAGCAATAAAATGTCAACATGGTTCCACGAAGAGCAATCCTCTGTGAAACTTCGTCAGTTTAAGTAAATTGTTTAACTTACCGAAAAAATGGATATGAACCAAAAAAAACAACTGATTTGGTCGAGAAGCATGAATTCCATACAAATTTCAATTGAAACGAAGCATTCATCAAAATAAAAAAGTTTTCAGACCAATTTTGTAGGTAAGTTGTTGAAGGGTTTTTTCATGGGATTTTCTTGCTATCCGTCTGTGGAACAGTCTACCAAATAACGCAACTCAGTTTAAATCTAAAATTAAAGAACATTTCAAGTAAAATAAAAACAAAAAGAAATCGTAAAATTAAACTAAAGTCAAAATAATAATAATTATCATAAAATATTAATTAATCCCAACGTAATAATATATGAAAAAAACAAGAGAGAACGCTATAGTCGGGTTCGTGTCCCGACTATCTAATACCCGTCACTCAGCTAATGGGAGTGCGAACGCTGTACTCGGATTGGTGTCCCGACTAATAATCGTAACTCAGCTAAAGGGAGTGCGAGGGAGATAGATATAGAAATTTTGATTGCGTATAACTTTTTAATGAATGGTCCGATTTGAAAAATGTCTTCTACATTTCGATAGGTATAAATATGCACAACAAAATTGCATTTATACTTCTCGGAAATCTTAAAAGGTGTGGGCGCCAGACACATTTTAAAATCGTTAGTGGGCTATTGTGGGCGTTAGAGGGGGCGTGGCACTCGGCTAAAATAAACTTGCGCTGCGTAGGAAGCCCAAGAATATGCGTGGAAAATCTCAACCTTCTAGCTTTTGTAGTTTCCGAGATCTCAGCGTTCATACAGACAGACAGACGGACAGACGGACATGGCTAGATCGACTCGGCTAGTAATCCTGATCAAGAATATATATAGTTTATAGGGTCGGAAACGCTTCCTTCTACCTTGTACATACTTCTGCACGAATCTAATATACCCTTTTACTCTACGAGTAACGGGTATAATTAAAGTAACATATGTCTAGTTCAAAATTGTTAGTAATAGGTAGTAGTTTTAAGTCTTTTTTGTTCAAATAAGCTTGCTTTTTAAATTCAATTAAATTTAAAAAAGAAAAAGAAACGAAGCATTCATCGAAATGAAAAAGTTTTCACACCAATTTTATAGGTAAGTTGTTGAAGGATTTTTTTAAGGGATTTTCTTAAGGTATCGCTCAAACATTAAAAAATTATTTTTAAAATATATTTTTGCCTTAAAAATCTAAAGGTAAATTTTGTTTTGGCCTTTCCCGCCTTTACTGGCATAACCCAGTTTGCTGCAACTTAGGTATAACAAATTCTCGATTTTTTTTAATGGACGGTTAAGACCCTTGCCTACCACTAGGAATCTGTTTCTGCTGACATGGCTAGATGGACTCGGCTATTAGAATTTATATACTTTATGTGGTCGGAAACGCCTCCTCACTGCGTTACAAACATCTGACTGAAATTATAACACCCCGCAAGGGTATAAAAACCATATTCAGCGTCTGTTCGATTATTCGTTGAGCTCAAAAAATCGACATACAGTGGCTCCATCGCATAATCGGACACCTACTTTCATAAAATAAACAGTCAAAATAAATGAATAAAATGGGTTAAATTCGTCGTTTTTTTTGCTTTTACTTATACTAATATCTTCCAAAAACAAAAACAAAAATTACATATTTTCGACGAAAACACTTAGTTTTCTAACATAAACAAAAAATCCGATTTTTAAGGTTCAACGAATAATCGGACACTCGCTGAATACGTGTTTTGGAACTTGTTGCAAACTTGGGGTTTTTGGCATTAAAATTACTTTGTAGTAGAGATTAAGAGAAGAAACCTTCACTACACTGCAAAAAAAAGTTGAAATGGCTCCAAGGAAAGCCATTTTCTGTGAAACTTCGTCAGTTGATTGGAAAACTCAATTTCGAACTGAAAACTGTATGGAAATTCACTGGATTGGTCGGAGAAGTCAAGTCTATTGTCCAGGACATTATTATGAGGTTCCGGGATACATTTTAATAGAGGCGGGAAAGGCCAAATCAAGATGTTAATGACGGCATAGTTCCAAAGTACCTTAAGATTTTAAAGAATAAAAAATATTTAAAAAATTATTTTTCATGTTTCTTGATCTGAAAGTGCATTAAACAACCGACAAAATGATGTATCGTTCATAAAAATCGGTTCACAACTTACCTAAAAGATGGGTTCGAGAACATTCTTGTTAAGCTGAAAGCTTCGTTTTTATTGAAATTTGTATGGAAACCGTGCTTTTTGACCAAGCAATTATCCGTTTGGTTATAGTTTGGTCCATTTTTCAGGTAAGTTGTGAACCGATTTTTATACCCTTGTAGAGGGTATTATAATTTCAGTCAGATGTTTGCAACGCAGTGAAGGAGACGCTTCCGACCACATAGATTATATATATTCTTGACACTCCCCGCGAAGTGATTTTTGGTCCAAATTAGTACTGTGGTGGGATTATGGTGGGAAAGTCATGGTGTGGTGGTCAGTTGAAGCCTCGGGAGTAGGAAATTTGGTCTTCGTCGAGGGCATTATGGTTCCTTCTCAGTATAAGACCATATTAGAACACATTTTGAAAACATCTGGGTACAAATTATGCCTCAAAACGATCTGGACCTTCCAACAGGACAACGATCCTAGGCATACGCCGCATATCGTGAAGGATTGGCTGCTGAATTATGCTCCATGTCAATTATTTTCACCACCACTAAGCCGGTACATAAGAATTATAGACCAGGATTGGGAAATTTTGAAGCAAAAATTTCGAAAGTTTCTATGTAAAAAATCGTATGTAGACTTTTGTCAGTGCCATTTTTAGGTTTTTTGTTTATAGCTCTTTAAGTTTTTGTTGTATAAGAATGAAATTTTGGTTTTTGAGTATAGTAACATTTAAAACAAGATGGCATCATTACTTTTTCTGTAAAAGCTAAAGGAGTGGGAAAACTCCCAAAAAGGGGGTCGTATGTAGACTTTTGTCCGCCACTGTATGTCGGAGCGAGCCGGATCGGACCACTTTATCTTAAGGCTTCCATAGGAATATTCAAATAAATATAAGAAAATTCATTGTAACTTTGTAGGAAGTAGGCGTTTTTATTCTTGACTACTTAAAAACAAAATTGAAATAGAAACGCTGAATCTGGAATCCCTGGAATTGCACCGAGTGAGGATTACTTTATCTGCAAGGGTATATAAGCTTCGGCTGGCCGAAGGTAGCTTCCTTTCTTGTTATCAACGATTTAGCATTATGTATAAGTAAAAGCAAAAAAAACGACGAACTTAACCCATTTTATTCATTTTTTTTGACTGTTTATTTTATGAAAGTAGGTGTCCGATTATGCGATGGAGCCACTGTACATATGAATGTACGTATGTATATTTATTATTGCTAAAAAGGGTGACATCCAATCGACATCGAGCTAGGTGATAAAAGCGAAAAACAATAGATTTAACTCATTTTGTTTAGTTTTCTAGATCGTTTATTTTCGCAAGTGACTGTCCTTTTAGACGATGGTGTCACTGTACATATGCACATACATATGTATGTATGAACAAAATTTTAACATAGGTCGCTTGAATACTTATTGTTCTTTGGTTCTATGTTACAAAATTAACGGCAGTTTAAATACTTAGTTAATGAAAGCTTCAGTTGCATATGTACATATATATGTCGCTATTCACCAGAGGTCGACGAATAAATAAATACATTTACATATCTTGCCTGTGAATTCAACGTAATACATTTATACATTTTTATGTAAACACATACACATATGATCTCAATTGGGCACAATATTCATGGAAACAATTTTTAGATGAACCTTGAAAACTGTAAATGTTTCCTTTGTTTGGTGTCCCAACTTGACAAATTCAACCATGTATGTCCAGTATTTACCTATTTGATAACTTTGTTTGTTAGTATGACCGTAAAACCTACTAATATACTAAAAATTAAATGTGCTAAACGAAAAAGTACTATTTTTTAAATGGGATTAGGATATTTAAAGTATGTCCAAACTATGGTCAAGATTCGAGGCTTGGTTCAATTTATGATTTGTTTTTGCCGACGACACACTGTGGGGCGCCTAGAACAAAAAGCCTGTCAAAATGTTTTTTTTAAGATTTTCCAAAATGTTGCAATGCAACTTTAAAAACAACTGAATCCTGTATACAAATCAAAAAGAAAAAGTAATCTGTGATGGATGGTTCTCCCACTACAGATTTTTAAAGTTGATTTTTCGAAATAGAATTGTAGCCAATAAGAAAAATTAAGTATTTTTATTATAAGTACATCTAAATCTTTGAAATTTTTCTGACAGCACCTAAGGGCCTAAGTTGTATTTGTAACGATTAACCAAGCAACCAATTCTTAGAATATTAAAAAAATACAAATTTTAAGTGCATAATTACTATTCTATTTTTAATTTTTAAAAAGTGGTCCAAAAGCGTTTCCGACCCTGTAAAGTATATACCCTGCAGTTCCGTTCAGGGCTTTTTTGGCAGTGAATCAGCACTAAGCGCTCAATTACTAGTGAATTTGTATGAAAAATAGCGGTGATTTTAACATGAGCATGTCCTAGGGGATCATCACTGCCAGAAACTGGCGCTTTTTAGGCGCTGATTTACTGCTATTTCAGCACCTTAATTTCGTAGAGAGATTGATAGAGAGGGAGTTGGTGAGAGGGTCGATTCTGCCGAGGCTCTGCCGGCGTCGCAGTCATCTCAGTGCAATTTAGCGCTCGGCCTGAATTCGGGAACTGCAGGGTATATTCTTGATCAGGGTCACTAGCCGAACCATGTCTGTCTGTCTGTCCGTTCGTATGAACGCTTATATGTATCAAAGTGTAGAAAATTCAGAAATCGGACCATTCGATAAAAAGTTATGCCCGATCAAAGTTTTATATCTCCATCTCCCTGGCACTCCCTCTAGCTGAGTAACGAGTATCTGATAGTCGAGGCACCCGACTATACCGTTCTCTCTTGTTTACTTATGTGAAGGTATTGATAAAGATAATTATAAATTGATAAAAAAATTTAGGTTTCAAATTAAAAACAAGAAAGGAAGTTAACTTCGCCCAGCCGAAGTTTATATACCCTTGCAGGTATGCCTACTTAAAATGTTGTTTTTACATTGTCAAAAATCAAAAAGCCTACTTTCTACAAAGTTAAAATATTTTTTCTTTTATTTTTTTGATTATTCCTATGGGAGCCATAAGATATAGTGGTCCGATCAGGCTTGTTCCGACATTTGTACTACTTGCAATAGAAAGACTTTTGGGAAAGTTTCATCGCGATAGCTTTAAAACTGAGGGACTAGTTCGCATAGAAACGGACAGACCGACAGGCGGAAGGACTGACAGACGGACAGACGGACATGGCTAGATGGACTCGGCTATTGATGCTGATCAAGAATATATACTTCACTGCATTGCAAACATCTGACTGAAAATATAATACCCTCTGCAAGGGTATAATTATGTTATTTTACTACAAATATATATATGAAATAAATACCGATTTCTGCCAGATTTTTTTGAAAATGTTCTATATTTATGCATACAGTTAAAATGATAAATAATGACTTAATCCCGATTTATATGAACCAATATTGAAATAGAACCGAGATATTCCTCTTTTTAATAAGCATTTATATGGCATCTATAAGATATAGTTGACCGATTTGAATAATTTTTTTTTTTCAAAAATCAAGGTAAATAAAAAAATATTGGGAAACTTAGAACCATATAAGTAATTTATTTATATATAAAAAAAAGGAAAAACATTTTTTTTCTTAAAAATTTCCTACAATTAAAAAATTTTACTACAAAAATTCACCTTATGATGTTTTTTTTACATATTTAATTGCCTTTAACAATACCCCATTAAAAGATGTTCGCTATAGGGCCCCGCTGATTTAAGGCAGACTTTCGGCTTTTTCGCCCCACTGTGCGACATAGAAACATACTATTATTAACGGAAAATCATCGGACCCCGTTGACGTCAGCTCTCATTTTTGAATACATGTCGCCGCCTAAAACTTAGATTTGGACTCTGTCGACCGAAAAAAGTTGAAAAATCAGAAATTTAAAAATCCACCATAAATCCAAGTTTCCATGGATTTTCAACGGATTTACTTAGAGTTTTTACAATACATACAGTCGACCAAAAAACACATTTTTCACCTTTGTCGAGCTGCTGCGCTGCCACTACATAGCCAATCATATTGAACTGGATGGCAAAGTCAAGCTCTGATCTATTGACTCTAAAATGAAAGGAAAACTGGCCCAATTGGTGGATATGAGCCAAAATATAAGATGAAATTTGAAAAAGTCTGAAATTTAACATTTTGCACTTAAAGAAATCTTTAAAAAAAACTGTGCAATCGAAAAAAAAATTTGTGGTATTTTCGTGATCTAGGACTCCAGCACTAACAGATCAATTGCTGTAAGGCATTTTGTCTGTAAACTAGTGTTATCGGTTTTGCCAAGTTGAAATCACCCTTCGTTAATGTTTAGTTGAGCAACTGCTCTTTAAGTCAGCTGTTATTGGATGGTGGATGTGCACTGTGGGAGCACGAGCTTCACTTTTGTCAAAAATCCCAACCGTTTCACACGGATGGACTCTCTGGGAAGAGACTATTAGAAGAACTTTTTATAACCGTTACTCGTAGGGGGCTGTCCATATAATACGTAATCACTTATCGGTGGTGTTGGTGGGGGGGGGTTGGGTGAAGTCAAATTGAAGTTTTTTTTTCTCCTCAACTCACAATGCAAAGTGTTGTTGTCTTTTTCATGAATGAGTGTGACTTGTTACTCGCGTGCGTGTGTTTTTCCTTTAAAGGTGTTTGTAACTGCACTGCCATAAGGCAGTTTTGAGCACCCCTGCTCTAGTGCAACATTGTTTTTTGTATGGACAATTGATGACATGGGGGGTGGGTCAAATTTGGCCCCCCACAAATTTGTGCTGCTTTGGTAATTTATAGCAAACTTTGAAACTTTAAAGGAGTGCAAAGTATACTTTTAGTTAACATTAGTTATTATTTACAAATTGCAGCACATATTCTGAGACTTTGCTGCAAAGTATGTCACAATTGGATGGCGGACTAACTGGGAAACTACAGGGCTGGAAAGTGAAATTTGTGGTATTTTTTAGCAGTATTAACCAGGCATGAACATTTTTCTGGACCCGAAACTGATAAGAGGCTGATAAGAAGCAGTAATGTTAAAACCATTTATTGTTGATATTTAAATGAACTTTATTTCGTAAGTTTTGGTATTTGATATATCATATATGCCAAATGATCTGGCAATAGTTGAGAATTCTGAAGATGATCCAAGCGCATAAAGGGCAGTAGCAGTTCGTTTATCCAATGGAATGGCTCGGCTAGAAAGGATTGGAAGCGAAATATTGGTCGTTGCAGCGCAGTCACATGGGCGTTCTTCCCCGGCTCCATGATCTTGACGTTTGCTTCGCGTGCGCCATGCCATTCGTCCATTAAGGCGACCTCCCGGTCGCATTTAAGCGCAGGTGCCAAATCTGCTTTGACCAAAGATGACCATTCCATATTCAAATGACACACGTTGACAGGGACTGCTGGAAAAGGGCACATCTCCCTCCTTCTTGCGCACAATGTCCTTGTAGGCGTTTCAGCCCCGACTCAGATTCTGTTCAGTGACGTGCCGCCGCAAAAGCTGCAGCTACTGCTGTCGTGGGTTGTGTCAAAGAATTATTTAAATGACTGTTCAGATCTATTTATGTATATGAACGCCTTCTGCAGCAGATCATTTTGCTTTCTGCCGTAATAAATGCTCAAGCAGCATAACGTGGGATGTTGTTATTGCTTTCATCATTGCAGCAATGTTTCCACGCTGTTCAAATGCTGTTCTGCGATTACAATTATCAATAACAAATTAATTAAATACATTGTTTACTTTAGCTCGCAAATGACAATAGCAGAACAGCTGTTTTCAGACGCGTTTGCCAATGGAAACACCTCACGTCCGCCTATCGCGTTTCCAATCAAAAATGCACAAAAATACCGAAAAAACCGCAAAGTGGAAAAATGCCTTTATAGCCACACAGAGGAGAAGTACACGTGCTAGAAAGAGACGGGGAATGTCACTACAATGTCGATAGTCAATTATTTTGTAAATTTTAATACGTAAGATAAGTTGTTTGAATTGTATAAGTAGACAGTTAAGGTATATCCGTTAACCAAATAAATAAATAATTAAGCTCTGCTTCCAGTGTTTTAATACTTTTTGGGGAGGATAAGCACTGCAATGACGCAGAAAATATAAGGAAATTGTTGTTGGTGCAAGACCAAAAAGTCTTACCTATATTGCTATGCTTTGTTTAGGGAATGATCATTAACTAGCTTATGTGCTTCTTGGCAAGACATGGCGTCTGTTGCGCTAAAACATTATACGCCTTTAAAGAAGCCATTTGTCATTCATCTCCCAAAAGTGGTAAAAATTGCTGCTGATAAGCAACTTTCGCATCGAAATCGAATCACCCAAAATATAACAGGCATTTTAATTTTACTCGAAACAAAAAATCTTTCCCGTATTTGGCTGCATAAAGTGTCTCTGTGGGAAAGGGTATAAGTACATACAACGTTCCACAGTTGGTTGCCGCACAGTGGAAGTGTTCCGATATATTAGGGATGTTGAAGTAACGCTGGATGCGGTTCATCTCTAGTTAGGAATTGAGTTGGCAAAAACATGTAAACGTTGATAGATCATGCCCATTTAAATCTCATTGGGCAATCATGGCTGAAGAGACCATTATTCTTATTTTGTTAGTTTTGGTTATGCTTGTTGGGTCGTACTTGGCAGGGAGCATACCGATGCTAATGAAATTGAGCGAGGTTCGTACTTTTTACTTACATTTTAGAAAATACATTTAATTTGATTTTATTCCTTCTACCGAAATATTAACTACCGTTTAAGGAAAAGCTCAAATGTGTCACTGTGCTGGGCGCCGGTTTGTTAGTGGGTACTGCTCTTGCCGTTATAATACCAGAAGGTATTCGATCATTGTATATGGGTAATGGGCGACCACAAGATCTGACTCCAGAGCACCAAGATTACTCGCAGACCATCGGACTTTCTCTTGTGCTGGGTTTCGTCTTCATGATGTTAGTGGACATATCACAGCGGAAAAGCAATGTCGGAAGTGACAAAAAGAACAATGCCACCTTAACTCTCGGATTGGTGGTCCATGCTGCAGGTAACCATGCTGTTATTACTTTACTCGGACATTTTTTGAATCCGTTTTTCTTTTGCAGCTGATGGTGTGGCTTTGGGGGCAGCAGCCACGACCAGCCATCAGGACGTTGAGATAATTGTATTTTTAGCTATAATGCTTCATAAGGCACCAGCAGCATTCGGGCTGGTAACTTTCTTACTGCATGAGAAGGTTGACAGGCAACAAATTCGAAGACACCTAGCATTGTTTTCCCTGTCAGCACCTCTTTTGACTATTTTAACGTATTTTGGAATAGGCCAGGAGCAGAAGGAAACGTTAAATTCTGTTAATGCCACTGGGATAGCAATGCTATTTTCGGCCGGAACATTTTTGTACGTTGCCACTGTTCATGTCTTACCAGAACTTACCCAGGGGGGATTATCACAGAGCGATCAGCATGATTACCGTTTACTAGAGGAATCTCGAGATGTTGTTACTAATGACAAAAGTGGAAATAATAGCCTACACGCTTTAAAATATAGTGAACTAATAATTATGATTTGTGGTGCGCTGCTCCCGCTAGTTATAACATTTGGACATAAGCACTAGGATAGCATATCAACATTCCTGGCAAGTAAGATTTAGTAAAAGTTTGGGGGATAATATGCAATATAATTTGTGTTCAAACTATAATGCGATAAATATGTATATTACACTTGAAAACATTTCAGTGAATTTGTCTAATTTATTGTCGTAAAATGAAACATTTAAAATAAACCATTGAAAAGACGCATTTGGTCAAATGTAACGTTATTTAGTAATTTTCTTTGGGACATTTTTCATTGGGGGGTTCGCTTTTTAAATTTAGCAGGCGAAAGCTCAAATCTAAGACGGAATACATCCGCCATCTATAAGAGAACACTTCGTCGATGCCTTTTTTTACCGCGGTACTGAGATCAAAGGAAAACTGTCAGAAAATAACATCGGATTAACTTCAAAGAGTTAATCTGAAATAAACTCTTAAGGAGCTATATAGAGTCTATTTTTAGTATGTTGGGGGAACCCAAACAGTGATTAACTGATACTTTAAATTCATTTTTAAATACACCGCTCGAACAAGGGAAATAAAGTAGATAAATAGAAAAAAAGGATATTTGCTTTGTTCATGCTTTGAAAGTTACAAAGCATATCCGCGGTCACATCCCTATCTATCATTAGGCACACGTCAATTCTTCTTTGTGTCGCTGTCCGCACTCTAGACTTTTGAACTAGTGAAAGGTTTCCGGGTTACAAAATGATTAAGTTTTCGGCCAAAGTAAATTGGGAAATAATGAAAACTTACTTCAAAAGTGGCGAGTCTAAAAATCGGAAAACGCAATTGGGGTTTCGAAAAGCCGCACGTTTTCTTGGAGAATCCAATGCCTCCTCAACGAGTTTCTGTTTGGTGCGGAATGATGTTTTTCTTCGAAAACGAGTCGGGAGTGGTAACCGTTATCGCTGCATGATGAAAGACTTATTGCGCTGTATTTTGTTGCAGAAAAGCGAACGCCGAAAGACCAAGAGTCAAATGAGCTAGAGCGGTGATGCTGATCAAGAATATAATCAGGGGTGTCACAGAAATCTCTTCCAACCCAAGACGGTTGGATTTTGCATTGATGCACGTAAGAACTTTAACGGATTTCGGTTGGAAATAATTTCTGTGACACCCCCGAATATAATACAAATTTACCAGGGGCAACTGCGAAAGGGTCAAAGGCAACGGCATATGACTATCGGGAAAATGGCCAAAATGCAACGGGGTAACGGGCGAAGGTACAACGGGGCAAAATATATTTTATAGAGGCAATATAGTGTTCAAAACTTTCCGACCAATTTTAAAGCTAGTATGTGTATAAAAGTATACTATTTTTATACTATAATAATAATTATGATGATTTCAGTCAGAATGTGTGCAACGCAGTGAAGAAGACGTTTCCCACCCCATAAAGTAAATATATATATATAAAGAAGAAAATTAAAAGGAAATTAATAGGAAAAAAATTAGGGGGCACTAATATTTTGTTTTTTGTGATTTTTTTTTCAACGCTTTTCCCTGATATAAAAATACGGTTATAGCACTTTGACGCGGAGGTCCACATTTTTGTACGTTTTTTATTTTCGTTTTGCCGCTTTAACCGCATTTTCCTCAGTTTGACAGCAATCTGACTCATTAAATACCACGAAGATTGAAGACCAACAATTTATTTAGAAAAAGAAACCCATTGGGCAAGAAAATAAATATTTCAAAAAATCCCGCGAGCGACCAATGTCTAATAAAGTGTCCCGAACAGAATGAGACTATTTTCACAAATTTGACATTGACAGAAACTGGTTCGTAATATCTTATTTATTTTAAATTTCAAAATGTTAAATTTCGGACTTTTTTCGAATTTTTTCAACTTTTTTTGGTTGGCAGAGTCCTAATTTAAGATTTATCATAGGCGGCGAAATGTAAACAAAACCAATTGCTGTTAACAGGCGGGTCACTAAATAGCTAAATCAGATATTTAAAAGCTAGAAAATTATTAAAGTGAATGTAATTTTTATACCCTTGCAGAGGGAATTATGATTTCAGTCAGAAGTTTGCAACGCAGTGATGGAGACGTTTCCGACCGCATAAAGTATATATATTCTTAATCAGCATCACTAGATCTCAACCTTCTAGCTTTTGTAGATTCCGAGATCTCAGCGTTCATACAGACAGTCAGACGGACATGGCTAGATCGACTCGACTTTATGGAGTCGGAAACGCTTCCTTCTAGCTGTTACATACTTTTGCACGAATACAATATACCCTTTTACTCTACGAGTAACGGGTATAAATACTCACAGTCATAACGCAAGCAATTTTATATTTTTGAAGGAATTTTTAGAAATTAAATTTATTTTATAATTTTCTGGCTTTCAAATTTAGCTATTTTTTATAATCCAAGTTAAGCAAAGTTAAGCTATGATCTATTTACTTCAAAATGAAACAAAAACTGGCCCAATTGGGTGAATATGAGCCGGAATACAGGAAAAAAAGTCAGAAATTTAACAATTTAAACTTTAAAAAACCTTTAAAAAAAAATTTGCCATCGAAAAAAAATAAGTGGTATTTTCGTGATCTAGGGCTCCAGCACTAACAGAATTTGCAATCAATTATTAGACTACACAGGAACACAAAATTAAACTTTGTGAAATTTCCACGAACCATTTCAAGTTTTCCATGATATTTGGGTGCTCCTGAGTAAAAGTCCCATACAAAATTATTTTCCATCACCTACAGGTTCCGCGGTATAGCTAAGAATATAAAAAACCGATGTTTGCCGACATTTTGAATTACAGGGCCTATATAATTGGACTAACCTTTATTATTTTCGGTAGAACCTATTCTCAATACATCACGGCATTCCTAAAAAATAGTCCCCATTGTGAACCATTGCCCATGTCTTTGGAATTCGACGCCAAAGTTGAAAATCCCCAAATTGTAGAGCTTTTTCTGATGGAAAAACAATTCTGAGGCTTAAATTTTGAATGGAAGTAATTTTAACTATTCATTGTATCTACTGTTCAATGTATGCTTTAATTTCGGTTTAAAGCGAACAAACAAATGTTAATGTTAACTGTACTTATATTTTGAACTTATAATATAAACTTTTCAAATTCAAATTTTCAACTTTTTCCTGGGGCTTAAAACAAAAATGTTTTGATGCAAATTGTTCCCCAATCAAAATTAATAATAACTGCAAAAAAAAATTTTTCAAAATATTTTTCCTTGTATTTTTTATGATTTTTTGAATGGCAAAAATAGCTATTTTCAAAAAAACATAAAAAATACAAGGAAAAATATTTTGAAAAATTTTTTTTTCAGTTATTATAAATTTTGATTGGGGAACAACTTTGCATCAAAACATTTTTGTTTTAAGCCCCAGAAAAAAGTTAAAAATTCGACTTTCGAAAAAAATTGTCTAATTTGCCCACTTTTCAAAGGGTGCTTAATGGGTTAAGAAAATTTTTGTGTCATTTAAACGGAATTGAAGTGCTCTTTCCATAGGTGCCAAAATGTTTATATTAGAAGTTCAAAATATGAGTACAGTTAACATTCAAATTTGTGAAAATACTTTTGACTAGGGTTGTACATAGAGAAATGTAAATGTTTACTCCCATTCTGTAGGATGCCTTGACTTTTTTAAAATTTGACAACATTTAGGAGTAGATAATGAAATAAAAAAAAAGGTTTTATTTGTATAATAAATCCAATAAAAAATATTCTCATGAAATCGCTTTAAACCGAAATTAAAGAATACAATAAACAATAGATTCAATGAATAGTTAAAATTACTTCCATTCAAGATTTAATCCTCAGAATTGTTTTTCCATCAGAAAAATCTCTACAATTTTGGGATTTTCAACTTTGGCGTCGAATTCCAAAGACATGGGCAATAGTTCACAATGGGGACTATTTTTTAGGAATGCCTTGATGTATTGAGAGTAGGTCCTACCGAAAATAATAAAGGTTGGTCCAATTATATAGGACACGTAATTTAAAATGTCGGCAAACATCGATTTTTTGTATTCTTAGCTATACCGCGGAACCTGTAGGGGATGGAAAATAATTTTGTATGGGACTTTTACTCAGGAGCACCCAAATATCATAGAAAACTTGAAATGATTCGTGGAAATTTTTGGCTGTGTACCTGTGCTATTAGAGCCCTATTCTCCCCTAAAAAAATGTACAATTTTTTTATGATTGATCTTTGACATATGGTTTTAGAACATCTAATTTTATTCGTAACGATTTCGGTATATAGTATAAGCATAACTTTTTACATTTGACCAACCTAATCATCAAAGCTAGAAGAAAGCAAGAAATTAGCTGCTAGTTCCTCATCCTTTTCACAGGCGAAGTAAGCTTGCAGTACAAGTGCCTCTGGGAATCCGAGTGCTTTCAGCTGTAGAAAAATCTTATATATTAACTGTTCATACGTAATAAAAACTTTTTAATACCCGTTCTATTGCGTCCTGGTCCTGGCGGTTCAGACGAATGGTTGAAACTCCAGAAGGTTGCTCCAAATCTTCAATTTCCGCTGCGTTATCTCTTTGTACCACACTTGTACCAGCAGTTGATCTTTGCGCTGCAACGGCTCCTTCCAGTTCTGATGAAAAGAGGCTTTCTATATCCGCTGGATTTGACTCCGTACGAACAGTTGAAGCGCGTGGTACTGTGTCATTCGATTCCGATTCGCTTTCAATTGGTTGATTTAACATGTTTAGGAAAGCATCCTGGTTCTCCGAAATAAGTTGTAAAAGAGCTGGGTTTGTCTGACCAATCTGTTTTGTAATAATATTATATCTTAGAATCAGATTCTTACAAATTATATTAATATTAGTGTACTCACCTGCTGCAATACTGCATGCAAAAGGTGAGGGTTTTGATATATTAAAGAACGCATTTGAAGAAACTGCGGTTGGCTACGTAAAAATTCAAAGGGATCTGAAAAGTAAATTATACAAATAATATAACATTAATAAAAGTTATTGCATTAAAGATTTTAAATCTGAAAGAACTACGATTTTTATACCCTTGTATAGGGTATTATAATTTCAGTCAGATGTTTGCAACGCAGTGAAGGAGACGTTTCCGACCACATAAAGTATATATATTCTTGATCAGCACCAATAGCCGAGTCCATCTAGCCATGTCCGTCTGTCCGTCTGTCCGTCTGTCCGTCTGTCTGTCTGTCCGTCTGTCCGTCTGTCCGTTTCTATGCGAACTAGTCTCTCAGTTTTAAAGCTATCGCTATGAAACTTTCCTGAAAGTCTTCTTTCTATTGCAGGTAGTACATATGTCGGAGCGAGCCGGATCGGACCACTATATCTTAAGGCTCCCATAGGAATATTCAAACAAATATAAGAAAATTCATTGTAACTTTGTAGGAAGTAGGCGTTTTGATTCTTGACTACTTAAAAACAAAATTTAAATAATTAGGAACGCTGAATCTGGAATCCCTGGAACTGCACCGAGTGAGCATTCTTTTATCTGCAAGGGTATATAAGCTTCGGCTGGCCGAAGGTAGCTTCCTTTCTTGTTTCTATAAAAACTGGTTAGATGGATTTAATTCAAACCTTTTGTATATTATTAAGTTATTAATAACATCGACTAATTTTTATAGCCGAACTCTATTAAAACAAGAAAAGGGAGACTAGTTTGCGTTGAAACGGACGGACGGACAGACAAAATCTAGAATTTTCTGTCAGCCTCGGACAGAAAACAGTTACGTTTTCTTCCAAAGTGTTTTCTGTTGACTGTTTTCGCCGGACACAAACCTTATTTCTGTCTGTCTATAACAGAAAAAAACAAGAAAGGAAGTTAACTTCGCCGGCCGAAGTTTATATACCCTTGCAGGTATGCCTACTTAAAATGTGGTTTTTACGTTGTAAAAAATCAAAACGTCTACTTTCTACAAAGTTACAATGGTTTTTCTATTATTTTTTGATTATTCCTATGGAAACCATAAGATATAGTGGTCCGATCCGGCTCGTTCCGACATATGTACTACCTGCAATAGGAAGAAGACTTTTGGGAAAGTTTCATCGCGATTGCTTTAAAACAGCGGTCGGCACACACATACGTTGACTTTTGTTTTATATTTGTGTGAGTAATTTGCACTGGGCAGCTCATCGATGTGTGTGTGTAGACCGCTGTTCTACAGTGTACGTGAGCGAGCAGCGGCTGGGCAGAACAAAACCTTATGCTCACTTAATATGACGCTGCCGACCGCTGCTTTAAAACTGAGGGACTAGTTGCTGATGCTGATCAAAAATATATATATTTTATGTGGTCGGAAACGTCTCCTTCACTGCGTTGCAAACATCTGACTAAAATAACAATACCCTCTGCAAAGGTATAATGAGACTTTTGCTTTCACCTCACAGAATAAGTCTTTTTATATGATCAAAAGCTATAACTGTCTCAGAATAAATGTCTTTATTGTACAATTACAATTAGCAAAGCCATCATCTTCTGAAGAATTCGCTGTTTTTGATTCTGCTTTTTATGTTACGGATACTTATCCAAAATTGGATTTATGCAGGAGTACAATTAGCAAAGACATCATCTTCTGAGGAATTCGCGGTTTTTCAGCACTAGAATTAGTACTGACTGACTTGCGTTGTATTGTGTGCACAGAATCAATACAAAAATGATTTTTTGTTAAACTAATTAATTTACCTTATATCAATATGGGTTAACATACAGAGTTTATGCCATTTTTAATGAAGATGATTCAAGCCCTAACCAATGGAACCGGTTTTCATGACCGTTTTCCATCCAATATGTTTTTATACCCTTGCAGAGGGTATTATAATTTCAGTGAGATGTTTGCAACGCAGTGTAGGAGACGTTTCCGACCACATAAAATATATATATTCTTGATCAGCATCAATAGCCGAGTCCATCCAGCCATGTCCGTGAGTCCGTCTGTCCGTTTCTATGCAAACTAGTCCGTCAGTTTTAAAGCTATCGCGATGAAACTTTCCCAAAAGTCTTCTTTCTATTGCAGGTAGTACATATGTTGGTTCGGACCACTATATCTTAAGGCTCCCATAGGAATATTTAAACAAATATAAGAAAATTCATTGTAACTTTGTAGGAAGTAGGCGTTTTGATCTTTGACAAGGGGCTGTCCCTATATTACGTAATCATCTAGGGGGGGGTATTTGATAAATTTCCACCAAATGATTACTCTAGTGGAATTTTTTTGTTGTATGAAGAAATGATTCATGGGGGGGGGGGTCAAAAATCGCCGAAATTGTGATTACGTAATATATGGACAGCCTCCAACTTAAAACAAGAAAGGAAGCTAGCTTCGGCAAGCCGAAGCTTATATACCCTTGCAGATCATTATATTAATTTACAAATCGCAAAAATGTTAAATTTCTTATTATTTCACATTAATTTTTCGATCGTTTCTATCCCAGCTATATGATATAGTAGTTCGATCTTTTAAAAATTAATATCGAAATACGGAAATATTTCAAAATAGTCATATCCCAGAGTAGAAGGGAATGTAATAAAAACCAACAAAGATATAATTTTTTTCCCATTAATTTCCATTTAATTTTACGACCGTTCCTATGGCAGCTATATGATATAGTGATCCGATTTAAAAAACAAAAAAACCGAAATTCAGCAATATATAAAAAAAAATATTCCCAAGAGTAGAAGGTAAAATTTCAAAAAACATCGGAGCTAGAATTTTTTTACGTTTTTTTTTTGATCCTTCCTATGGGAGCTATAAGATATAGTTGTCCGATCCGGTTGGTTCCGACATATATACTACCTGCAATAGAAATACGACTTTTACGAAAGTTTCATCCCGATAGCTTTAAAACTGAGAGACTAGTTTGCGTAGAAACGGACGGACAGACGGACAGACGGACATGGCTAGATCGACTCGTCTTGTGATGCTGATCAAGAATATATATACTTTATGGGGTCGGAAATGTCTCCTTCACTGCGTTGCAAACTTCTGACTGAAATCATAATACCCTCTGCAAGGGTATAAACAAAATTTAAATAATAGGCACGCTGAATCTGCAATCCCTGGAACTGCACCGAGTGAGCATTAAACTATAGGTGTTTGCTTTATCTGCTAGCCGAAGCTAGCTTCCTTTCTTGTTTTTTTAATATTTTTCTTTTCCGATTTGGAAAATTTTCCAAATGTCCTTATATTGCCAAATGGCAATCAATTTGATGTCTGGATATCAGGAAAAGTTAGTTTTAGTCAAATCTCATAAAATGTATCCTTCCTACCCAAGAACATCAGCGAATCGTAACGTTTTACTTAAGAAAACGGAAGTAATGCTTATATTTTTTTCGGTCTTTTTTTTACTTTTTTTCTTAAAATCTGAAAAAGTTATTGTAGACAATAACTTTGATATCCGTATCAATTTTTTGAAATTGGTGGAATACTAATCAAGATAATAAAAAACACTTTTCATATAAAAATCCCCTTTTTCCGCATATTTGTTTAAAATTAAGAACCTGTGACAAAGTGATGCTATTATTTTTTTCGTCACTGAATGTTAGACGCTTTCGCATTTCAAGTTTTCGATTTCTAAAAGATATTGATAGAGACCTCGGTGGTCACTAAAAAAAAATGTAAAAATGCGATTCTGCATAATTCCCAAAATCTTCTTTTATGTGGTGGCCGGTATACGAGTTTAAAAGCAGTATCAATCCTAATGTTTTTACAACAATCTAGAAATTGTTCAGCGTTGACGGAATGTATGCAAATTTACAAAATGGTTTAGTCCAATCTTGTTACAGCATCAATATTCAGGGATAACAACTTTCCCCTAACAAGAGTTTCTCAATTTGTCAGTAAATAAGTGTTATTTATCGAACAGATTGAAAGTGTCGACAGTTATTTACGAGCCCTGGTTGTAAATTATTTTCTCCTGGTAATAGACTTTCTAATATTTTCTCATTCGGCCCGCCCTAGCAAACTATTCCAGTCTTTTTCCCTTCACAGGCATTTTCTATTGCAGCGTGCCGAATGAGAAAATATTAGAAAGTCTATTTAATGACGAGTGTAATAATTTTTCGTCACAAATGTTGATATCAGAACTTTTGTATGTTGAAGGTGCGATCGTCACTAGTTTTTTACCTCGTTAAGAGGTGTTTTTATTTGATATCAGAAGTTTTTGTTTGTTTACATTTGCTCTCATAGGAGCTAATATATACATTTAAATTTAAATTGGTCAATCATAATTTGTAAGCCATTGTATTTAAACAAATTAAGTTAAAAAGGCGTTTAAGTATTTCAAAATACCTTTTAAACGATGTATAGCACATGTCGGTACCTTTAGTAGTGTAGAACTTACAAACTAACGAAATTTAGCTATTTTTAGCTTTTTCCCGCTAAAGTAGCGGCTTTTTCCAAAAGTCGTAGAACAAAAGATTCCTATATGGAACTCTTAAGTGCAAATTTACTGATTCCATGACCCTAAAATACAGTTCGGATACCCTCCCACAAAATTCAATACTCAGGGAGCGTTAATTGTTCGAGCTGGCAAAAGTGGCTATTTTCGAATAAAAATAACTTTTAAACGTGACTTTTTACAGTAATGTGTTATATACCAAAATTTAAGGAATCTTAAGGGCTATACAATTTAAGGTTTTAAAGAAAATCGTTAGAGCCGTTTTTGAGAAAATTAAAAAAAAGCTAAAAAAAAGTTTTAAAAAATTGTCTTTTGTTTATATTTTTTTAACTATTACATTTACACAAATTGCTTATAGAAGGCGTTTATAGCATTTAAAAATACCTTTCAAAATCGAAATGCAGCACAAGCCTGTAGCTTTAGTAGTATAGAAGTTACGGCTTTCCGAATTTTAGCTACTTATAGCTGTTTTCCCGCTAAACTAGCGAGTTTTTCCAAAAGTGGTAGAACAAAAGTTTTTTATATCGATGTGATAACCGTCATATCAAA